TGATAGACTTCATATTCTTTCGACGACTTTCGCAACACTGAATGGAAGAAACAAACAAATTAGGAAATTACATTGGACCTTCGTTTCTCCACTAATTCTTTATCAGTAGAGCTATCACTCGGGTCATATTGACTCGACGCGATTACTTAAGAGTTAAATATCGTATGTGCGACGGATACGCTTCCTGCGCTGTGATAAGTTGGGGTGCTCTCACCAACTTGATAAGAAAGCTTTGAATGGCATAATGAGTGGTTCAGGTTAAATTGTAAAATTTAAAGTTATGAACATGATGAATAAAATCCGGTGTAAACCTGCCATTCATTTTAAATCGAAAAGTTTTTGTATATGTAAGGCGGCTTGCTGCCTGCTATGTCATTATGTCCCTGGCGTAGGTAGCAAAAATGTTGATATCTGCGTAGTTTGATTACTTCAACATGAATCGGCAATGCAAACCTGCATTAAGTTGTACTGTATGCATATGATGTCGATAGATTCACAAAATTTCATCATTAAATCCAAAATAACGTTTAAAACGAAATCTTTATCACTGAATATCACTATATAACAAAAATCTAGTAATTTTTTATCTTTGAACTGTATATGTAGTGAAACCACTCTTTTCGACTTATTTTCTGAGAGGTCGCGTTTTGTGCGATGAAATCTTAGCAGCATGAAATCGATACATTTGATCCTGTCGTCGCCAGTGCTCATCACATCGACCAAACAGCAAACAGATTCAGTTTAGAGGCTTTTCACTACGACTGCCGTTGAACGATAACGCGTAGTATGGAAAAGCGCTGATCACAAAAACCAACCTGACGGAATGTAGTGCATAAAATAAGCACTGATTTCGACAATGATTTCGATAGTAATTAGTTACAGTCCTCTACGTGATGCATAAACAAGACCAGAGTCGACGCAACATTCTACAAGCTTCCATAGCCGTTTCGTTCATTATGTGTTTCATGAAACCGCCTGATCAGTTAAGATGAATAATGGCACATTCACCTGCCAAATGATCACTGATGCAGCGTTCGTCCTTAGCGAAGAACATTTACGCCTGGTTCTTTGTTTGTTGGGTGAACATTATTTGAATGAAAAGCTGTTTTCCAGGGTGAGGTTTGCTGTTGGAATCATTTCTTCCTTCCACGTTGTAGTTTCATTGTCGTAAATGCTATGTCTGCAATACAGGAAGTTAATTATGCTAGAGACTTCAATTTCTAGTAAATGACTTTTCTTCAAAAGTAGCGCATATTTTTTATGCTAGCATGTTTAGTAGCATATGATGAATCTGGACATTTTTGTATACTACAGAATACGTCGGTGCAGTAATTATTGTGCACCTTTCGGGTAAACTTGTAGCTTACTTCGTCGTATGGAAGTGATTAAAATGGTTCATATCAGTCTGTCTAGACCTATTTTCAATGTAAATGTTTAAAACTACTACTCATAAACGACTGTTTCTGTATTTCTGTGCGGTATTTCCAGTAGCCAGGTTAAGAGAGGCTTCACTGAAATATTGAGCAGTTGAATCGTTATGCTGTCGCTCTATAGTTTGAGCTTGGCGGTGTTTTAGAACGTACGATCTGACCGATATGCTTGCTCGGTACTGATATAACTGTATTATAACTACTGCAGGTTATTTTAGGCCGACATTAGCAGCGTCGTTTCCTTGGACTCTCGCGACAAAATGCACTATATCAAGTCCATAGTACGAGGTCACTTGACTCCCGGATGGCTTCATCTTTATGACGTTGAAAGTAACCAGGTGGTGGACAGTTTGGAACCGAATTCGAAATTAAGATTTACCAAAACTTGGACTCATGAGTTTTTCCACCCTCCGCTTCCGGTACCTTCATGCTTTCTCTTCTTTCTATGTTAATTCGACTCGGCTATTTTTCTAGCAAATGCTCGTCAACTGCGCTCCGATACTTGACGACACTGTGACGACGACAAATGGCATTGTACACGTTATTGACAGAGTGCTTACTCCCGTTAATCGCAATCTCTGGCAGCTGATCGAAAATGACCCACGCTTCAGCATCATGAAGTCATGTGCGTAGCAATGATTTACATCAGAGGGGAATTGCGGAAAAGACAGTTCTAAACCTGTTTGTGTGAGCATGTGCAATTTAAAACCCCGTTAGAAGACAACTGCGAACAACCTAGAAATCACTTTTGCACATCACAGAGTTAAACTATTAACAGTAACTGTAACCAAAACTTTAAGCGTCTTGAACTATTCATTTTCAGCAGAATATGATGTCTGATTCACCTAAAGTTACACAGACAATAGTTACTTGGCCAAAGAAGAACTCTGTAAAGCATCTGGGCATTGTTTTCTTTCGGTACGGTTTTTCATTGCACTGTGTAGAAATCTTTTCTTTCGGTTTTGTAATCAGTTTCCTTCTCCTAATCACAGCTGCTTCAAGAGGTGTATGGGACTCTTTCTACTCTGGTTCGAGGGATACTATTTTCAGAGCTTCCCTTGTCGAATATATATCCAACTTGTTATCATGTATCAGAAGAATCCGATAAAAGCTATCGCAACGCGACACGACCTTTTTTTATTACTTCACAAGCCTGTTTGGCTTTTTTTTCGAAGTGAAGACTAAGACTTTTGAAATATTTACTTCAACTGTTAACATTTGATCGTTATAGTAGCAGGCAACGAGACACAAGTACTATTAAGTAACTCCGAAAAACTGTCGACGCTGCTCGCATTTACGGACGATGCAGTGAACAAGTTACCAGAAGCGGAAAGGGACAAGGTTTTGCGCCGAAGCACATGCACGAAAGGTACATGGTTAAAGAGTGGCTTAAGAATTTTATTATTCTTGATCTAATGCTAACAGAACATTAGCAGCAGAGCTACATGAAATAGCTATGTTTGACGCTTTCGAAATGATGTCTCAAGTATATACTGCTCATGATTCACTCTAGCGACAAAGATCATATGTTTCTTTGCAGACAGGTCTATTTAAAAAACGTGTACACATTTCCTGTTGTCCATCGTTGCCAGTAGACCGTTCCCACAAGAAAAATGATTTTAACAAACTTCTCTTTTTACGCAGAGGAACACTGGGCTATTGAAAGAGAGGTTTAGCACAGCGGTTGCTCAACCATTTGTTTAGTCAATTGATTCAGATCGCCAGAGAGGTATATTGCTCTGCAGGTTAAGTGTCAAGAGATTTCATATTGCTTTGTACTGCCTCACTTGCAAGTACTTTTTGAGAATGGAAAGTACCAGAATGGACCCTTCATCCGGTCTTTTATACAAATGCATATGTGCACAAAGTAGGACACGCTGAGAATGACGATAGTGGAGAGTTTGTGCTTTCTGGATGGATAGAATCCAGCACTTTTGCTGGACCACACTGAGGGCTATTTCATCGTTTCAGAATAGAGGATGAACTCCCTTCTTGCATAAATGGGGTGCAGTGGGTGGTAAAGAGGTCAGCTTCGCATTCCGAAGATGGTGGGTTTGACTCCGGAGGACGATCATTGTCTTAACCGTGAATTCTTTTAAGCAAAGGATTTACGCAACATTGCTTCAGTGCACCCATTCAAAAAACAGGCAGCAGGTCGTTGACTGGCAAACAGTAGAAGCAGCATGGTGTTCTGGTGTGGTTATACCAGAACGGGCGAGAGGTACGGCCATGCTGTTTGATATCAGCACCTCTTGAGGTTGCATTTAACCGTGACCCACTGTACAATGTGTAATTTCAGACAAAGAAAAGAAGGAAACATCGTTGCTGTTCATTCCTGTTCGGTAATCTATAGTATTTAGCGCATTACCGTCTAAGCCTCAGCCTAGACTAAACCTTCTGTGTAAATTTAGTGCTGGATGACACAATGCAAGACTTTGGTATCGAAATAGGTTTAGTGATCATCTTAAAAAATCATGAATCTGTTTCAGCAATTCATTAGGCTCTGAATGAATTGCTATGTTGTTCGGAGTATCTTAATCCGTGATTACGGTGTCTGGAGTTCATGACGTGTTTACAGTGATGGAATGTATGTATTCTACTGGCAAATTATATATGATTTAATCTTATGTCATTTCCGCGATGGAATCACTGAAATGTGATTTGCGAAAGGCAGTTAACCTAAGGCAGGATACCGATATGGAAGGATTATCACTCTGTTTGGCATCGTACATGAATACAGGTTCTTTATTAGACGCGAGGCGATTCTTTTCGATATATTGTTTAGAGTTCTAAACTGTTTCTCGATTTTTATTTGTAGTATTTCTTGCCCGTCAGATTAATATGATCATGTTGTTAAGCTCATAGGATAAAGATATCAAGCGAGTGCCTGTCATTATTTCTAAATGACTTCCATTTAATTCAGACATCATAAAAAATCACATCCTTCCGGGTCTATATTGTAAAGCAAGTTTATATGATCGAAGAATTCGCAACGCCGTTGGTCATTCCTTACTGGTGAGAGCGAATGGCAGCAGCACTTCGATTGGCTCATCTCCTATCAGGTCTGCAGATCACGTGGCAACAAACGGTGTGATGCATGTTGTGGATGAAATTATTTTGCCAGTCGAAGGTATATCTTACTATCGCACTTTGTCTTAGTGAAAATTAAATATATCTCATTTAGCACTGAGCACAGAATCCGCATTAAAGAAAATCGGCTTTGAAGCTTTCGCAGAGGAATTTCGCAAACACGATATTCAGATACCATATAACAGCACGGTGTTTGTATCACCCGTAAAGAAACTACTGGTATGTGTGTATTTATCAAAAGAAGAGACCTGCTATTTCCATCCAAGCGAAATGCAAACAGTTTACTGCGTAATAGTTCTCACAATGAAGAAACTAGCCATAAAATGGAGGTCATGACTTTTTTTTAGCAGGGCTGGAAAAGTTTCAAAGCAGCCACAGCGAGTTCGATTATGGATGCCATCAACTCACTGAAACATAAAACCATCCGCTGATAGAAGTTCCAAAGTTTGTAGATTATTACCATTATTAGTCGGCCTCGCTCACTAGTTCATTTGATGAAGCACTTTCGAATTCCATTCAACACATTATCCTTTTACGTGGCGCACCTTTAAGGACCCTATAAACTTAATAATTTCACCTTTCCGTCATGCATCGGATATTTCGTTTTCCCTAGCTGCTTGCTAGCTACTGATCAGGTCTCTTGACAATATATGCTACATACTGTCATTTTAATTTCATTGCTTCAATATTTAAATCACTAGACCTCTTAGAGATTTTACCTACTTATTTGCTGCTACCTCATCCTTCTTTATGATACATAGTTGACACTGAGTGATACTTCAGTCTGTACGTTTTGGCTTTTTTACTATTTCTGTGCTCATTACTGAGGTTTCGCATTCATAAACAAACATCGGCAACATATCTTTCCTTTGAAAGCACATGTACAACTTTTCTGTGGGGTGAGGCAGGAGTTAACAAGCGGCGTTGAGCTATCTTCGTTATTTTGTTTATTTCGAAGGTCTACTGTTCTGTGCAGAGGTAACTTATAACAGGCAAATGTTCCTGTTCACGTTCTCAATTTTTCTACCATTTACTTGAATTTCATTCTTCGCTACCTATCCGTATATGTCGTTTATCTTCTTGAAGTTCATCCTCACCTCCTGCCTCTGCTTCGGCACACGAATAACCTGTTCTGTTTATGTAGCGTAATCCTTGCGTCTTGAGCCTAAAACTAATCTTTCTTAACTTTGTTAAATGTAGCCTTAGCAAACTTTTCGGGCGCAGCCTTCCACCAAACTACGTGTGCGTGACGTCCACTCCGATCGGTGCTGCTACTCGGCACAGGGAGGTTCTTTCAACTGTTACTTGGCGGTAAGCATCAGCAATGGCTTTGTTGCATCATGAACTGAAGTGTCGAAGCCAAACAGGAATCTGCGGAGTTTGCTTTGGTACTCACATACTCAAATTGAAAGCAAAGACCAGGCAGAGGTGATAAGTCTTTCTTGATAAGCGTTTCAAGGAAGCAACTTATTCATTTCGCAGCTGCTTCAGCGAGACAGAATGCTATGCATCGTCCGTCCTGATATACCACAAGCAGCAGAAAAGAAATCAGAGACATGTATTCGTTAAAGATTTATCCATCAGAGTCACAGATACCTATATCGTTTTGGTACACTTGAGGAAAAGCAGGGAATGCTATGAGTTAGAAAGACCTTGCTCTTACAGAATGCTCGAAGTTACGATAGATGTTAATGAACAGTTGACCGAGAAAACGGTGAAACTACGATGTACTGAAAATTGCGTGTTAGTTGTACTATGTTAATTATTATTTTCAGATAACGTTAACTTCTCTAAGATCAGATTTCACAGCTTGTTGCGGTGACCTCTTTCTCCTAGTTGGCTAGTGGGCATTTAAGTCGTTCGGCAGTGACAAATGTATCTCGTATCGTTTTGTTCGCTAGAGCTACCTCCAGCTTATGAAAAACAGTATTTCAGGAACTGGTATTTTTTTATGGTTCTGAATAAATATCAAAAAATGTGGTGCAGTACTCCGTGAAATTTGGCCTTGGATGAGTTATGTATTAACTGATATACCCTTGCCTAGAATTTATTTTGATGTTATTTATTATACTTCGCTACTTTAGGTATGTTATGCATGACGTAGGAAGTATTTACATTTTCCTGATATTTTTTCTCCTCACCTATACCTTAATGCGTACATGTTGGATTGAAAAATGATGCAGCTTAGATCGGACCCTATGCTGAGGCAACATCACATGCCGCTGAGTGTATCCACTGAATGCACATTAAATGATTAAACAACCCTAAGATATTCGGTTACCTGGGAAGTAAGCAGGAAATCTGACGAATAAACAGTAGCAGGCAATATGGCAGCAGGGCTAAAAGGTACAGCAAATTAACGATTTGCGAAATGGCGCGGTTGCTTGTAAAAAATTCGCAACGTCCCACGAAATCATTTTGGCCTAACAAATGCTATCCGCTAGTAAATGAGTGTGCCGTTTAACCCCAGAAATCCAGAGCCGGTTCCAAGCGCTTCTCAGACATGCAATTTCTTACGACCTTGACAGTGTTATGTTGCTGGACCGCGTCACTGATGAGAGGCAATCTTCTTTGGAAACTCGATTCAGTTATTAGCTCGAGGTTATGATTTTGGAACGCTTGTTCAGATTCGGTCACTAAGGATAGTTTGGTCCTTTCATATGTCATGCTAATTCTGTACGTTTGGCGAGCTGTGACATTTGCTCACAGTAGTACTGCTTTTGTACTTCTTTGACTGTCATCTGTTAACTTAATTTACTTTATTTTCTTTTCTCTGTACCGTAGAGTGGCAGGATTCTTTAATGATATTATTCAGGCTGCAAACTTTCAAACTTTCAATGGAAGGAGTAAGAAATTAAGTTTAATGTTAAAGAACGCAAGAGTGCAAAATTCCATCAAAGGAAGAATTTTACACAGTTTGAAATTAGACGTGTCAATGGCTGTACATATGCAGCGATGAACACGAATATCTGGAGAGGTCAGAAAATCGAATACGTGATTTAATTTTTTATTG